GATTAAGATTTAGATCGACCTAACTCCCTGGGGTTCACGCTAAATTGCAGTCAGCCGAGCGGGCACCATAGTTAATTACCCCCTTACAGCTTTTAGTAGGCGGGACAGACGCTTAAGCCGGCCAAGCTGACAGCAATCTAGTGAGACTCCCCACAGGGATAGATCGATCTAAAAATCTATGGAAATGGGGTGTAGGACTCTGCAGCTCATTAAGGTCACTTGTTGACCGAAAAGCGCTTTATGCAACCAGTCCACCCACTCCCCCCACCAGGCTGTACGTCTCCCGTACAACCGTCTTCGTTTAGGTCAAATTGATACAGAGGTGAGACGCCTCTCTCTACACCACGCTGAGGTGAGACGCCTCACAACACGCAAGCCTAAAGTCAAAGTAGTTCATTGTACACGGCTACGAACATTTATTTTATGAGATCAAATTAAAAAATACAATACATCAAATCATTGCGTTACACAAACGTGAAACAAACATATCCAAGGGAATCAAGGCATTTTTCTTCAAACTCGAGCGTCCCGAAAACAATTTCAAAGCTTTCAACAAGGGACGCTGTCAAAACACACGTCCCCAGGGGCCCAGCCTAGGATCGTGTTATTTTGATAAGATGTAGTTTAATCAAGGGATGAACCGACCACCCCCAAACAGCAACTACACATATTCACAATGGGTTGCGAACCACTCTTGTATCTCTTTGTAAAACGGCAATCGCGTGCAGGGTTTCACTTTTATCGCTAAAAAGTAAACCCCACCTCTCGTGGATTCTTGCACGTTTTCTGATTTCAGATCTAGACGCTCAACCTTTACCTAAACCTCAATTGCCTTCCAATTTCAGTTTTCATCTTGATCAGCGCTACTACTGCCCAAACCATTACCATACCTGGAGGCTGCTCCGTATTTGGTGCCTTATCCTGTAGCTTCCTATGTATATTAAGAGGAAGATTCCAGGGATGCTGTGGGGTCGGCGCCGACTCAACTAACTGCTACTGCTACGGTCAGGCATCTCTTTTAAGCAATCCACCCGATTTTGTGAGTATTCAAAGCCAGATCCGGAGAGGGAAGGGCAAAGCTATAGCACTTTCCCCCTCCTTGCGTAAGGGTACCCCTTTCTCAACAATAAATAGTTGAACAATCAAAACGATACAAAATCAAGTAACTTTTCCTTCCCTAAGCCCTTTCCAGAATTGTATATTTCCCTTTCACTGCTTTATTTTCCTATTTCCTCTTACCGAACAGATTCATTTTCTTTTCGTTACCACCTTTTGGTAGCAAAATCTTAGATCTGACAATGGCACATCCTATATACCATACCACATACCATGCATTACATTATATCATAAACTTGAAATATGGTACGTAGTGGTAATATACTTAGCATTCATCACAATATTAACATGATACTTACTACAAAAGACACGTGTCACTTACTACACATCCCCATTATATTTTACACTGTGCAAATATACCAGGTGCTTCACACACCATTATTAATTCTTATACATGTACATGTATCATATAATATACAGAGCTTACACTTCATGACAAACACACAGTTAACTACAAAGTTAACTACAACTTCACATATACCAAATCGTTTTACGTTTATGGATAAAGGATATATTTGTTCATATTTCTTTCAGGGCACGGTGCCAACTGAGTGCAGGTAGAACAGGAACAAAACATCGCGCCTCGATATGGGAACCAGATCAACAAGACGATTTCTGGCGTTTTTAGCGTCGAAATTTTACAAAATTTCAATTTAGCTAATAAAAAGGCCACGCATAAGAACTTTTTATATTGTATGTTTTATATCTGTTATTATTGAATAGTCCAATAATAACCGAGAAATCCAATTTAAAAAATACAATTTTTGCGACATTACATACTGTTTGGAACCAAAAAAAAAAAAAAAAAAAAAAAAAAACGCACGGAAGAATATGTAGATTTATTTTCATATATGGAACTAAAGTATATAGCCAAAAATAACAGCATATTTTTCTCGACAAATAGACATCACTTTGAGCGCATTAGGGGAAGTTTAAATGCATAGTCCAAGATTTAGGGCATCAAATACACCATGGGTGTCAACATCCTGAGTTCACAGACACCATTAAATTTATGCAGAGCAGTACACCAGCGGCGCATGGACATCACTAAGTTGTCAATAGAGGCCTAAGGGATATTATCCCATTCCTCCTGGAGTGCTTTTTGCAGTTGGCGAACATTTTCGAGAGCTGGAACATGATGGCTGAAAACTCTGATCCAGAACATTCCACAGATGTTTGTTGGGCGACATGGTGCATGAGCGTGGTTCCTAATGCTACCAGTGTCTCTGAAGCGTGTTCCAAGATGGCTGACAGTGGAATGATGCACATTCAGACATGCTGCAACTTCTGTTACTGACAAGCCAGCATTGAGCATGCTGATGGCATGCTCCCTAATGGTTCCAGACATCCGTGGCATGTTGACAAGTGGCAGAAATACACATTTTGGTGTGTCCTTTTATTGCCTAGACGGTAAAGAGTGTCCGAGTATTGGTCTTGCAGATTGACCTCTACTCCGTCATGCTCCATTAGTCTTATGGGTGTAAAAACTGAACCTTTGAGTATACTCACGGGGAGCGGCCAAGTGAAACCAGACCACTATAATTGATCAAAACAAATCCATCAGTTCACAAATAAACCATCAAACTGGGCATATTTCATGATGATACATTTCAACTGACCATTTTAGTTTCGTGCGTTTATATTTTTGTTCAGTATATATATATATATATATATATATATATATATATATATATATATATATATATATATATGCTATTTTGCCCACAGCATTACCGGGGTGTCGATTTCCCTTGGCGCTACATATAACACTGATAATACACTTACTATAAAGGCAAAATAATTGTTATTCTAAGCAATGTCCGATGGATTTAACTTTTAATACATACAATCAAGAGAACATTTCCAATATTCTTTCTTAAAACGACACCAAAAAGCAAATTAAATCAAATCAACCAGACGGTAAACATGTACCAACAGGCTTTGTCAGCATATACTGTATCTCACGCATGCGCAGAAGTTTAAATCTTTCCTGTGCTAGGTCATAGTAGTATTTTACACACAATATCACAATAACTGTTTTCTGAACGGTTGAACCATACGACACCATAGCGCGACTACGGCATGTTTACCGATGATGATATGTGAAATGGGGGAATAGATACTGGCAAGAAAGAGAAATACTGATGAATCGTACCTCATTTAATATCCTTTAATGACAAGGCTTTTGTAAGATGTAAAACGAAATTATAAATTTAGTGAACATAACATCACAATTTTCAAAAAGGGCATCAAACATTCAACATTCTGTTTGGTGATTTTGGTCTTAGAATCACTTTATATCACAATAAATGTATATTTATACGGAAAAAAACTCTTTCTTCAACATGTAAGTCACGTAATGGGTAGGGTATTGTTTGAAACATATCTATCTATCTTTCTATCTATTTCAGCATAAAAAATATAAGAAAAAGCATCCAAGCAATCGAAAAAAAGGTAAAAAGAGCACTGAGAAATTGTGGGTTTCCGGAATGGGCATTAAAGGAAGGTGAAAAGATGGGAAAGAAACAAAAACAGAGAAGTCACCAAACTACTGCCCATGCCAATGACAAATAAAAGAAAAAAAAATTACATCGTATTATCTTACTCCAGAGTGGGGGAGGGCCGAAACGCTTACAACGGACGTTTAACAAGTACTTTTCAACATCAATTTGTACAGCAAAGCAGAGTTGACAATCGGAAATGCAATGGTACGTCTAAGGCTCAAAGACCCGTTTGACAACAATGAAAAGTGTGGAGTAGTCTATGAAATAGATTACAGGACGCAACACGTGTCTCTTTAACATTTATATATCATTCTGCGCACGCGCAACCTGATGTCACTTACACCCCACACCCCCACTCTCTCTTTCTCTGCAAAAAAGAGTTACTAAAGTTACTCTAGATCTTATTTTAGTTTGTGTGTCTGTTTATGTGTTTTAATCTTTAAAATGACAAGAAATGTTCAATTCCCCGAGTTTAAAACTGATTCACATTTGCGACTCTACAGTATATAAGTACAGTATTTGACAGCCTATGAGCTCAGCGACCTGAAAATAAAATAATCTTTTGTGGTTTTCAGTTCGGTTATAGTTCACTGCTGTGTTTCTTCAATTCCACTGTCAACAAAGGGTTTCAAATGGCTATTTTTGTGTGTCACAAAAATACCATACGAAAATTTATCCAGCTGGTTTTTATTCACCTTGGTGAAGATCTGATACACGCGCCTGGCTTACAAAATTAATCTTAAAACGCATCTTGTGGAAAACGCAACGCATACGCAGCGTCTTTTTAACTGATTCGATCATGCGTCAAGAACATAATGGAACAAGTAACAATTTTTTGGTAAATTTGACGGCATTTTGTACCTATGAACTAGCTTAAAAAAGACAGCACAGTTTCAAAAAAAAAAAAAAAAAAAAAAAAAAAAAAAAAAATAGAAGGAGAGTAAATGTTCATGAAATGTATCAAATGTGGCACAATTAATATCCACAACTGTACTTTTGTACATTTTTGATAACACAGAATAAACGAAAAAATATGTGTACTAATTCATAAATCTGTCTTCTTACCAATTAAGTTTTTCTTCACACCGTTTTAAAAACAAAAACGAGTCGCGTCCATTTTTCTCTTAAATGACGCATTTTTCCATGCTGCGCCATTTAAAGAAATTAATACCAAACGTGACTGTACCCTCCGCGCCCTTTCCTGGCTTCCTGGTTCAAATCACATAGTACAAACATATGCAATTTCAATACATGAGCTCTGAATGGGTCTATTCACCCGTCAACGCAACAGCACGTAGGCTGACAAAGAGGGCAGATAAGAGCTTCCCGTGTCGTTTATTAGTGGGTTAAAAACATTTACAAAATTGGGTGGTTATACTTACAGCGCGTGGTTTACTTACTCGTGTTACTTACTCGTGTGCAACACTGGTTTAAATATAAAGTTGGATATTTTCACTGGTGGGGGCAGTGGTGTCTACGGCTTTTGCCTAAGATTATTTGCTTTTTGACATTCAAAGTGACGGGCAATTAGGACATAAGAGCAATTGAGTGGCGTACTGCTACAATGGTTTTTGGGCCTCGTAGACGCCTGTTGCTTTTGGCTGCTCTTTTCCTCGCCAATGTAAGGGTTGTTTTCGCTGGATCTCTCTGTCCCTGTAAATGCACGTGCACTGACGACATCCGGGGACTGGGCGTAAATTGCGCCAACATGGCTGAAGACGATCTTCCCGAACTGCCGCTCCATGCTACGTCTCTCAGAATATCAGGGAGGTTCGAAACATTGAGAAATGGAACTTTCAGTGGTTTCTTCAGCTTGAAAGATCTCAACATGTCGGAATGTAATTTAAAGACCATAGAACACGGTGCCCTCTTGGGAATTTATGAACTTCGTAACGTGTCATTCCAGAACAATTTACTCGTTGATTTGCCAAGATTTATCACGCTACTTCCAAATTTGGAGAGAGCCAATTTTCAAGGAAACCGCATAAAAGTGAATGCCAGTACCTTTCCAGCGAGCCCAAATACGCCTATGTCATCGACGCTAATGGAGTTGGACATCAGTTCAAACGAAATTTCCGACATGGGCGTTCTTTATAATATACTTTTGAGCTTTACTAACCTGCGAAAATTGGTTGCCAGAAATAATGGGTTCACCAATATGAGCCAGAGAGATTTTCCATTTCATAAACATTTACAAGTTCTCGATCTGACATATAATTGGCTGCCTAACCTGTATCTCAATTTTGCTATGTTGACCTCACTTAAAGAATTATACATGTGGGAAACGGGCTGCACATTTTTCATCCAAAACATGTCCTCACTCGCTACATTTCAGTACAAGCGCAACGCGTTCTGTGTACCGGATTCTGATGACGGCAGATCTTTGTTTGTAGGGCTATCGGGACTAGAAGAACTAGATCTGGAGGGTAATAATTTATTTTGCGATGAAATTTGGAGCGGCAAAACACTTCCTAGTATATTCAAATCTCTTCTACCTAATCTGAAAATATTAGTGCTGGCTTCGAACCACGTTACCAAACTTCCAATGAACATGTTTTACAAAGTTCCTAGCTTAGAATATCTGGATCTATCGAACAATGACCTAAAAAGCATCGATTCTGCAATTAACACTTTAGATTCTCTGGTGTATTTGAATCTAAGGGATAACAGGCTCTTTACTTTGGAAGTGGACATACTACAGAAAAACACTGACCTACGGTACCTTAACGTCGAGGCAAATCAGTTTTTCTGTAGCTGCGAAACAAGTAGGTTCTCCGCTTGGATCCGAAATCATACAACCAGATGGCCGGAATTAAGGGGAGAGAACCAAACTTGTAGTGGGCCCATTGAGTTCAGAAACACCAGGTTGCGAGACTTTGCCCCAAATTGGATAACATGTAACATGACTCCTTTTGTCTTTGTATGTATCGGGGCCGGAGTTCTGGTAGTTACGACATTGGCAAGTATTATGGCCTATCATCGGCTGGACATCGTTTACTGGTGGCATCTGAGAAGATTGAGTGGTTCTCGTAGAAGCTACATCAGGTGTCATGAAAACCAAGCACAATACGAATATGACGCTTTTGTTGCGTACGCCGGCAGTAGCGAGGAATGGATCGTGCGACAGTTTCTCCCGCACGTGGAGGGTCAAGGTCGGAGCACCGACCGGGGTCAAGGTAAAGGTCAGGACATTAGCTTTAAGGTGTGTATCCATTCAAGAGATTTCTTACCTGGAGAGTACATCATAGACAACATAGTAGAGAAAATGGAGGCAAGCAGAGCGACCATACTGATAATCTCGCACAACTTTCTGAAAAGTGACTGGTGTAAGTACGAGGTTGACATAACTCAGGCGAAGGTGTTGCGGGAGAGACGCGGGGCGCTCATTGTTGTGTTTCTCGAGCAGATACCTTATAAACAGCTCCCCAAGACGCTTAGACTCATGAAGCGTCACGTGACCTATTTGGAGTGGCCGGCGGAGGAGAATGAACAAAAACGGGCGGAGTTTTGGAAAAAGATGAAACTTTCACTTCTGAAACGAATTCAACAAACTCATAACATTTCATATCCTTCATATCCTGAAACACAAGTGTAGTTAGATTAAATTTTATATATGAACTTTTCCACTGTCTACATATTTTCAATATGCGTAGGGCGCACAAATTTTATTCTAAGCAGACATGATTAAAATATCTCAAGTATGTGTACACACGAAAAAAACGTCTTTTTAATTCGCCATTAATTAGCGCTAAAATAAGAATACTATGTTAAAATCGATCTGGCGTTTCATCCTTTCAGCTATCGTTTTATTTACATTTCTAAATGCCCTGTCTGATTGTTCCAAAGCAATACATTTAAATAGTCAGTGTCAGTACTCGCCGGGTCTTACCAAACAGAGCTTTTAAGACTTACATAATAACTCTTGTTACATGTACTTAAATATTATGCACGGAATCTCAGACACTGCCGGTGTAACGTGACAGAGAGTCCCCCATAACAGAGAGTCTGCTTCCCATTCATTTGTACAGGTAAGCCTCGCCCTAGATTTTGACCCACTTAGGTCAGACTAACCCTAACCATTATAACTATATGCATATTTAGGGCGGACTTTCTGTTACACGGACCCTCAGTTTTGTTACACCGGCAGTAACATAGGCAGGGGTGTAGTCCTAGGAATGGAAGTTCGGGGTCGCATACGATTGGTACGAGTTAGGGTTAGTCGTAGTATTTGGGTTAGTATATGGGACGAATGTCACCTGTACAAAGTAATTGGAAAATGACTACAGTTTATAGCGGACGTACTGTACCATTCATGTCCTGGCGTGGTATTTTTTCACTTGAAATTTTAATTTTGTTTTGGTGTGCCAAAACTAAGACAGGTTGAGTCATTTTAATATTTTTCTAAAATATCCCAAATTTCATTGCAATATCTTCAACACCGTGCAGGTTATTGGCTTTTATAATTAATAACGTTAATTATTAAGTCCCCACATATATGAGGAAAAATATGTTTTTTTAACTTAGGTCAAGTGATAGAAAACTTCCTGGTTTGAGTTGCCGGTCTTTTCTCGCAAGCGTAATTAATATCAAATGTTATAATGCAAAATTGTGCCGGAAGTGACGTGTAGTGGTGTAAGACGTGAAGCTGACTAGTCATTTTCAGCTGGAGGTAAATAGGAGTGAAGATGTGGGCTCAAAGCGACATAACATTTTTTTGGTATTTTAGGCAGAGAATACTTGTAGAAATAATAATTAAGCAAATGCATATTGCACAAAATACTATATCCAGTATTATAAGATTGTGTCTTACTATTGTGAGCTATATGTATGAAGTAGTTAGCTTATATGTATTTTGGTATTTGAATGATATAAAGTAGTTATACTTATTTAAGCCCATGTGCACAATTTATGTAAAATTGTAGTTTAGAGAGCTTGTAAAATGTAACTGTACACATTTTAATGCACAATAAATTATTATTATTAAGTACATGATATGAAAACGTGTTACGATACTTGAAGGTGCGAAATCTTGCTTAATTTGCAGTCAATTTGCTTTGAAATATACGCTGCATCGACCGACAGCGCGACAAGGACGCTCAAGGAAAAGAATTCCCGCGAGGCTGTAAATCGTTGTCATGTAGAATTTTGGCATGTATGTAAGCTGATATGATCATATCTAATTATTTTGGGGTGTTTTATGGTATGTGCTGCAATTATAACGATGTTTTAGAGCCCCTGAAGGACCTCGTGAAAACCAAGAAGTAGTTGGCAACTGACAACTGAATCGCACCGAACCACGATCGCTGTGCAATGATTTATCTTTTTGTAAAGATTATTACGAGTTTTTAGATGATTCTACGTCCAGCTGACATAAAATTCCACATATATGATCACACTAATACACCTATTAAACCGGGGCATGCACTAATCTAAACCTACTACCAATATTTAAAGAGGTTTCAGCAACAATTTCTAAAAATGGTGTCCTTAATCATGAAACAGTTTGACAAACGAGCAGGCCAATATACTTGAAAAATATTTTCGCACGTAACAAACGAGCAGTCTCAAATGCTTGCAAATTTTCTATTTGCCAGTACATGGTACATGACATATTTGCGCTCTATAGCTACTGCACTTCATACTGGGTCCCTTAAACTTAAAACTAGCCCGACTCCGGGTCAGACTCCTCACGTTTCTACAACACTAATTAAAGGGATAATAACTCTTCGTATGAGATCTATATTTCACAATAAAAACATTGTGAATAACTCATAGAAATATAATATATTCTGTTTTACCACAAAAANAGCAGGGACTAACTTTGAATGTAAAAATGGATTCATTAACCATTTGGTAAGTGTGGGAAAATTGTTGTTTACTCAAGGAAATTGCATTTTTTTTTTTGGCTGAAACGAAGAGTTATTATCCCTTTAAGCGACTACCATTGAATAAAAACATATCTAGCTTGACTGCGGTGTAACAGGAATGCAAGTCCGCTGGGAACCATACTGCTTCCCAATACTTTTAAAGGTGACATTCGTCTTATATACAAACCCCAAAATTCCAATTAACCCTAACCTGTTACACTGGGTCAAACTCCTCACGTTAATTTGTACGACACCCAGCGCATAGCACTGATGAAAAACATATCTCGACCTCAATCAGGCCTAAATTCATACGGGCCGACTGAAGCTTGCCCTCTTGGGCGTTTTCGATAACATGCACATTGTAACGAACGCAAGTGACTACTTTTATTCTCTGACAAAGACTTCAAAGTAAGAATACATGGAATAACAGGGCAAAAAGAACACGATTTGACTGAAATTGAGTTAATCGAAGACGGTGTGTATATAGTGAAATTTTGCCCTGCCTAAGTCTTTATTTCAACGGTAATCTTTCATGTTCTACTGTTCTGTTGTGTGTACGTTTTTACTCGCCGTGATAATTTTCATCATAGTTTAACTATTGATAATAACTCAACTGCACACATATTTTCCTCTTCCTTTTTTGAAGCATCATAGCTCGATTAAAAAACAAACAGAAAATTCATAACAAGTGGTGAGTAAGTATGCGGTTTATTTGTAACAAGCATTAAATAAGTTTTATCACATTCAGAACAACATTATAAAGGCAATGTAAGATTGTACGTAAAATCCGAAATAGTAATAAAATAATCACTATTTAATGTATTAGATATGGCCAGGGTCCATCCTCAAAATCATGTGAACACTAAACAATATTCTAAAATAAATAAATAAATAAAAATAAGTTGTGAGAGTTTACACATTTTTACATCACAATATAAAGTAATGTGGAATTATGCTCAGTCAAACCACACTCCATGTTCTTAAACAAAGTTCTTAAAAACTAAGCCATTCCATTCCATTGACGACAAGAAATAAATAAGCCGGAATGTGACTCAAGTATTTGGCATTAGTTGAAAGAAATTTCCTGGTTTCTATGAATAATGGTAAATCCTATTCATTGATAAGTTATTTTCATCATAGGAACAAAATAGTGAATGAGTACTCAGAAAAAAAAAAATCCTAGGATAAAAAGAATACCTTTTTTTTTGCATATTTAAATACCTAAGATAAGTAGTCACTCCATTAGAATGAGTTTTTTTTCAAAACGTTGTCTTAATATATAGATATTATTCATTAAAACTATATATATATCCAGTAGTAACAACTAACTTAGGTAAGAGAAAATGGTGAAATAATGCAAACATTAACCATCAATTTAATCATCAATCTAGTTGCAAAAGCAATGAGTAACTAAAACATACATATTTGAAAAGGTGAAACCAATTACACAATTTGGTGGCAACTAGCTTTTTGCCAAAAGTTGTAGGCAGAGAAGACTACAAAAGATAAGTGCATTAATTAACCGTGCGGTTGATCAAATTATATAAAGGACTAATCTGCTCCTGTTAAAACGACAGGTAAAATAGTACATTTGAAATTAATTTCAAACCTATGGTCAACAATTTCAATGGGGGTGGGTGGGAGTGTTAAAAAGACAACCTTTTTACTAGCTCAGTTGAATCAACTTGAGAATTGCCACAGAACTTAGATCAGATTTTGATTCATTGCAGACTTTTTCCAGCTGAAAGTGTACACCTCTGTCTTGGCCCCCTTATAATTAGAACTGGGCAGACTGCCAAGATCCTTGCTGGCAAAACCAAACAACACTCATATAAATGATGCCATATATTTTGAATATTCAAGAGGCTGTTGTAAATCTAAAGAAAGGTGGTCAATTAATGGCACATTTTTGTTCACCATTCCAAAAGTTTCCCTTTCAGTCAAATGCCAACTCACTCTCACTACCCCTGTAGTTGTTTTTTTCCACATTTCATTGTGAGCATCTGTAAATAATCTTGTTTTTTTTCTCCAGATTAAACAGTTGAAATATCCAACCAAGGCTTTGTGAAGTAATTGGCATGACAGTTTTGAATAATGAACATCATATAGTTTAATTTAAAAATATTACACTCAGAGCTGCATTAGAAGCAAAGTGCTGGCACAGGGCCACCTCCATTCAATACACACCAATACTTTCAAGGCAAATAAGGGTTTGACCTTAAAATTCATGATGCATGAAATTTTTTAGCAACTTCAACAATTTCCTTTATCAGTACAGTACCACAGCATAACCTTTCAAACTTGATAAAATGATCATCTTTACTCCTCTTTAACCAGTTCTACATTATACATCTACATTATGAGGGCGCCTGAAATGAGAAACTGGCTTCCAAAATGGATTAAGACATGAAAAAAATTTAGATTCTGCAACTACCTCTGTCAATAGTTTTACACATGGCATGCAATTATTTCAGTGATTAAGGGAACTGTTGAAATTTCCACAAATTTGTATATGTTTATTTGCTTTCTGAAGGAGTGACATTCATTGTGTGACTTAAAGCAAACTGGACATCAGGGGACATCACTGACCAATGTCCAGGGTGAGTACAAATGCCTTTTATGTGGCCTTGTTACTATATGTTAACATCTCCCATAACAAATAGAAAATAGCCCACTGATCATATATTAAAATGGATAACAACTATCAATTCAAAAACAGAAATGACCATAACTTCCTAAGACTGACTGAGAAGAGAATGATTATCTAAAAATATCAACAATAACAAATGCTGGAAGTATATGACTATCATGAGTTTATCTTGTCACATGAAAGTCATGTGACATACACACACACAATGTGTAGTAAGTTTCAGTGCCAGAAACAATGTCACTGTCATGGAACAGCTGTAGAAGTTCAATGAGCAACATACTTGACCTATTTAGGTCAGGATTAAGAAAAATCCAGGTCAAGGTCAAATACCAACAAGGCTGAGGTAAAGTAATTATGTCTAGTGGTTGAACAAATTCAACTACAGATAATGCTCTGAGAATTAAAGAATTTTTTTAAAAAATGAGCAAAAACCATGGGCAATTGCTAGCATATCAATCTTTTATCAAAATGATTTTTACTACTGTCCTTATCTAAGGAAAAAAACAGATCTTCTTTTGTCTTTATCTTGTCAACTTGGAAAAATTAATCACTAGGCTACCTGGCAGTTCCGATTATATGCTAGAGTTATTGACTGGCAGTTGAACTTTGGGGGTGGGGTGGGGGGTGGGGGCATGTTGATGACCTAGAAATGGGTCAAACGTGAGAAAGGTCATACTTAAATAACACACGACCACTTGTATACTAGAAGTTGATCTGTAAATTCATTTTGAAAGGTGGTCAAACCGAAAAACAAGTTTTCTACATGGAAAAATGTTAAATATGATAAGGGACGAAATGGTAACTGCCCCAAAATTTAAATTAATACTGATTCATTATATTTTGCATATACAACTATTCTTGTTAGTGAAGCCTGGAAAAGATGAACTGCAAGTTTTGAAAAGTAAGTTGGGGTCATTTAAAGGACCAGTTCTTATGAGTAACTAAAAAAGTAAAAATAAAAACCTGGAGTAAGTTTAGTGTTCAAAACGTCTTAATAATTACCTAAGTTAACCTTAAATGGCAAAGAAGTCAGTAATTAAGAACATACGACTGAATAATGAAGCCGACTACATGATATTCAAATGTGACCATGCTCATGTCAAGTACTGAGGTCAAATGGGGTCAAGAAAGGTCGAACCAAGATCGTAGGTTAATGGTGTCTAATGTCCTATATTAGGTGCTCGTACACCCATTCACCTGTGGAATATCTTCCATTATAGCAAGCCTGTCTCAAAGTTCCCAAGATTTTAAGTTGTTTTGATATCATAAAAAAATTCTTGTTCCATCTGGTTTTCTACCGATTATAATCAGAAACACCCCTTCAAAGATTATTTCACTAAAATGATATTGTTTAAATATCAATAATTGATGTTTGAAATTACCAAATAATAATGATTATTTTCTTTTTAAAGAGAGATGTTTAAACAAGTGCTGCTATAACTTTGTTTGAATGTGTCCTGACATAAGAAGGTAATTCTCATCACCAATTGGCGTCTCTCTGCAAAAGAAAAGAAAGAAAGTCATTACAATTTAATAACTAGAGGACCAGAGCAGCACAGTCAACTCCAGGGCATGTACCATTAGCTAGGTAAGGCACTTAAAGGGATTCATTATGAGAGATGCACTAAAGATTCAATTCCAAAATAACTGACACTTGATGAGTATTCTTTCATAATTACATGACACTAATTAATATGCAGAAAAGTGAAGTTAACACATGTTTTCTGTACACTTCTCACTTCTAGTTTTGGGACCCATTTCATCACAGATATAGGTTAAAAAACTAAGATTTTTTTTCTTAATACTTACTGTGATCCATAGACTGTGTTCCTATGTTTATCCTTCACATATTGCTTATGCTCTTGCTCCAGACTTATAACGCAGGCCAGAATTTCACTGAGAGTCTCAAAACACGTCTTGGTGTCCTCCAGTATGGCTGTGGGGGGTTTGGAGGGGGTCTCTGTGCCTGAATACACCTCCAGCTCCGCACAGGTATCTGAGGAATAAAAACACTCAAGATCTGTCTAAGAAAGAACTGAAAAAAAAAAGCTGGTCATAACTTAAAAATAACTAAATAAATGAAAAGGCAGGCATCTAAGGTGTAAAACAATTAAGGCCAGTCTTACAAAACAGCTTTAAAAAGATGGTCCTCTCTTGAAAATAAATAATTTAGAATGAATTCTAATCTGATGCAATAACAATTGGGAAATCAGCTGAGTCTTTTTACTTGACCGGAAAACTATCACTTTGATTTTTGTTATTTGACATTATTAATCACAAAGTTTTCTTGTGTTCTGCAGTTTCACTGTTAATATATATAATGCCATGTGGACATTTAACTTTTTCCCAAACTTCTACACATAAAGTTATACATGAATAAGATTATCCAGAAAAAAAATCTACAATGAAAAGTATACTTGAAAAAGTTTATCAAAAAAGAAGGTACTCAATATGTACAAATCAATCATACATCAAGCACACATGAAATGTTTTTTTTTAGTTTAACTATCAAAAGCCAAGTTAATGGACTTCTTCTAAACACCTACAACTTAGTCTACAAATAAATTGCAAAAACATGACTATATTAACTAGTAATATTAAGACTGCTGTTATGGTATCAAGCATTCAATGAGAGTCAGAACTTGTTTTATTAAACATGAAAATCATCTAGCAAGTAAAAATTACAAGCCATACTTGTAACATTAAGATTCATATTTTGTTTGTGAGTGAACAAACAAGTAAACAATGTCAGTTTGCAGACTTTTTAAATAAAACAAATGGCAAAATTTGATTAAAGATAAGGTACAATAAGATTAATTCAGCCAGTAAAGAGGCTTTATAAAACATCAAACCACAATATGGCATTCAACATCTACTGTGTACACACTGTGACAGGTACAGTACTGTAACTGTTAACATATTCAGGCCAGTTAGAATATTTGCCTCCCCTTACAGACCTTCATCTTCAAATATGTGAAACCATGTGAAAAAATTAAATGTAGAAAAGATAATATTGTAACCAACATACTAAATATGTAAGAATCTATATGGTTTTGAGAGAGACAGAGAGAGAGGGAGATTGTTTTTATAAAGAAGGTCAATTGCCATAAGGCCTACTGGTTTTTTGGGCAAAACTGTTCACAGGTAGAAAGAAGTATAAATTTAATCCTTAAACTTGAACAAAAAAAAAAAAAAG